GAACACATACCCGGCCCACTCAGTTCCCCTGCCTAGGATGGGCAAGAGCACAGGGGCCGCACCGGGTGCATGCAGCCAACCTCACTGCCACTGCTCGTGCCACGGGTGGCTGCAGCGGGCCTGGCCTGGCAGCAGTGCTGGGAACGCTCCGGTACACCCTGCTCTGGGAAGAGCTCTTCATCCCCCCAGGCGTGACTGTATTTGCTGGTGGGGTGATTTTCATCAAAGGTGCTGGTACCAGTGGTATCTTCCCAAATACCCCAGCAGAAGCAGCCACTGAAGGCTACAGGGAAAGGGCAGGGAGGCTACAGCAAAACGTGCTGCACAGATGTGCAGATCCTGCACAGATCCTGCACAGCGTTACAGTGCTTTGTGCCCTTTTTTCCTCCGCTGCCAGGTCCTGATTCCCAAGGCAGGCCAAAGGGACAGACTGCCAAGCGCTGCAAGTATCACAACCGTCTGACCAAAGCTGCTGCTGTCCTGGTTCCTGCACGTCCCCCTGTGCCTACAGCTCAGCCCTCCACTTTCCAGGGCTGGGCTGTCAGCATAAAATGAAAGGGGAAAAAACCCAGGTGGACTGAATACAAGATCTGAAAGGGCTGAGATTTCCTCTCGCTGTGCCCCAGGGCAGAGACCGAGTGCAGCCACTGCTGAGCTGCAAACCACAGTAAGGTGTGATGTGCCTGGGCCCCAGCACCATCCCACGCAGCTCCTCCTTTCGCCAGTGTCCCTGCAGCCTGCAACATCCCCTGCACAGCCTGAGCAAACACCACCGCCCCCCTTCGCAGCTCCCATCCCAGGACCCCCAGGAGAAGGGAGCAGGCACTGGCCTGCTGGGCACAGCACCCAGCTGCTGCTGACTGTTAATGAGGGAACACCAAAGCACCCCTGGGCAGAGCCTGGGCTGGCCTCTGGGCCCCCCCCTGCCGCTCCCAGCGGCCAGAGCCGGGGGCTTCCTGAGCCAGGGGGGCAGCTCTGGCCTGCCTCCTTGAACTCCTCTCATCATTCATCCCAGTCTCACTGCCCAAAATAGCCCACAGTGATTTCCGCAGTTAATTTGGGCTTTCTCTGAGCACGCAGGCTGTAGTCTGAGCTTGTCTCTGGCCAGCTTCATTTCAGAGCTCCCTGTCCCTGTGTGCTGAGATGCAGCAGCAGAGGCACTTGTCCTTTCCTTTCCTGTTCTTTCCTCTGCTGCCGCGATGGTACCCACCCCACCACATCCCCTCCTTGGGACAGGACACCTCTGCAGAGGCTCACCCCATTTAGCTGTTCCTTACTCAGATGCCATCCATGCCCCTCGCTGTCCTTGCACCTCTTCTCATGGACAGTAGGAAAAATTTTTTCACCACAAGGATTGTTCAGCATTGGAATGGGCTGCCCAGGGAAGTGGTTGAGTCCTCATCCCTGGAGGTATATAAAAGCCGGGCAGATGAGCTGCTTAGGGACATGGTTTAGTGGTGGGATGGCAGGGTTAGGTTAACAATTGGACTTGATGATCTTAAAGGTCTTTTCCAACCTAAACGATTCTATGATTCTAAGATTCTACGTAGCTCTGGGTGCTACGGGGTGTACCCAACACTGCACACACACCAGCATGCACGGATTCACTGGCAGCCCTTTCCCTCGCAGCTCCCACACAGCACCACACTCCCACGACCAGCCTCCTCTACAGCAGCAGCTACCCCTGCTCCCAGCCCCGCTCGCACGGACGGACGCTGTCCCTGACACGCAATATAACCCGTCACTGTCCCCCAGCCACTCAGCTGAACCCCTTCAACACATTCTGCCACCAGCTTTGGGATGTTCATACACCAAATAATTATGTATCGCTAGCAAATATTGTGGCCTCACTTTTCTCAGCTCTTCCAGAGCATCTAAAGTAAGATTTCTCTTATCAGTGTGTAAATGAAGGACAGGGAGGGGCCTGTGGGATGGAGCAGGAGCAGGCCGGGTTACCTGTTGTTTCAAGACTCATTGCAAAGCACTGCAAACACGGCATTCCAGTGCCCACCTGTGCGATAGCAACACACATCAACTGCGCCCCACCGGCGCGGGAGATCCCAGCTCACGCAGACATCCTCCTGCCGCTGGGGTGCCCAGCCCACCGGCTGTAGCCCAGACTTTTGTTTCACTTTAGGTTATCTTATCACCATAGGAAAGGCAATACAGCAGAAGAATTTCCTTTCCTTTATGTTTCCAGCCTTTCCATTGTCTGGTGTCTGGATTTCTGAGCCTTGCCACTCAGCAATTCGCTCGGGCCTTTGGAAACATGAATGCAGGCACTTCTTATCAGCAGGAGCTCTGCAAGGGCTCCTGCTGCTGGCAAACCAGGCAGGGTCTGGTGCCCGGGGCCCATTCTCACCCCGTTAATGAGCTGTGCATTTTCCACTTGGCCATTCACCTGGAGGGATGGCAATGCCAGGCAGCATAGCTTGACGAGATTTCACCATGGCATTGAAACACCATGGTCTCCTGTTTCTTTGTTCCTTCCAGTTTATACAGCCAGAGCAGAGCCTGGATGCCAGGGCAGGATGCGTGCTATTGGGAAGGAAGGACAGCTACAAAGCACCAGCACCTCAGAGAAGACTCTGGGAGACACCATGAGCCCAGGGCTATAGCAAAGGCTCTT